TAGGCAATCATTAATTTTGCAGTCGAATGGCTCTTAATGTTTTAGACCAAGTTCAAGCTCCCATGAGGATCAACTTAAAGTTCCTAAGAGCTCCCATTTGAATGTAAATTTGTGTGTTTTCGTCATGTGAATACAAGGATTCTGTTATTTCTATCTTTTTTCTCATGTGAATTTCACAATTTTTGCAGCGATGGATACAAGGATTCTCTTATGTATACTCATAATCAGCAGCTGGAAGTGCTGTAAAGCCCGAGACTTGACAGCTAAACTTGCTACCGAAAATAGTGACATCGATACAGGTAGTTTATCTGGGGTGACCAGTTTCGGAAGTGCACGTTAAGTTCGCATAGAGAATTTCGGAATTGACGTTTGTCATTTAAATGTTCATTTTTTTTTTTTCCGAAGAAAAATCTGATCTTGATTCTTGGTATCTTGCCTTTATCAACTCTGTACTAGCCCGCGGTAAATAAATTCAGAGCCTGTCGAGCTTTTAGCATGATAAATTCTATTGATAAATGAAATGATAACAAATGCCTCATCTTCTGCCACCAGTCGTGCAGTCTGAGGACAATCCTTTGCAGGGAAAAGCTCAAAATGTAGAGGACATTAGCAAAAATAATCAACTGTGTACACTATGTGAAGAGTTTGCCAGTGAAGCTCTTAATTACCTTAACCAGAACAAGACCCAGACAGAGATCCTTGACATCCTTCACAAATCCTGCGCCAAAGTACTTTCGTTCAAGCAGCAGGTTGTCGAACTTTTTTTTTTTCTTGTTTATGTTTTTAATTGAAGTTTTCGTGCTTGTGTTTTTGTTATGTTGGGTTAATTCTTTCAATTTCTGTGGATATTGCCTTTCAGTGCATTGTTCTGGTGGACTATTATGCCCCTCTGTTTTTCATAGAGGTTTCCAATGTACAAGCTGATGAATTTTGCCGAAAAGTCAACCTATGTGAGGAAGGAGTTTCCTTTTCTCATCGTTTTTCGAAGGATAAATGTGATATCTGCCATAATGTTGTCACAGAGGCTCTACTGAAGTTGAAAGATCCTGATACGGAGGTAAGTCTCTGAGCGAAATTTGCAGATGAATTCAAATTAAATAATAGTAGCTTGTGAAATTTTTGTAGTTTACTATTTCATTTCCTTTATATTCTTCTTCTTGTTTCAGTTGGAAATCGTTCAGCTGCTTCTAAAAGCGTGCGACTCGATAGGAAAATCAGTCAAAAAGGTAACTAATCGTGCAATTTTTTCACGATGCGCTTTAAGGGTAATATAGTAATTAACTAAACATGTGTTTTTTGATGATTTGTTGCATCTACTTTTGAAGTGCAAGAAAATAGTGTTCGAGTACGCGCCACTAATTCTTGTTAATGCCGAAGAGTTTCTGGAGAAAAACGATGTCTGTTCAATTCTGCGTGCTTGCGACAAATCCATGCATGCTGCCATTTAATCGATCGTCTGCATTTTTTCAAACAATGTTGGATGATTATATTTAACGGTGTGTATATGATGTATATATGATTGATGATTTAACAGATATATATAAATTAAATACAATGTGATTCAATTCAGAAGTTCGAAAAAAATTCGCTCATGTTATCTTACGATTTGTATTCTTCCAAGGTCTCGTGTGTTTTCGGGACTGAAATTATATTTTTGTTTGAATTGTATATTTTTAGAAAAGAAAAAAAAAAAAACTTAATTGTCATAATAAAAGGTTGTTATCATAACACACGATGCAATTAAAAAATTTCAAGGGATGAAACATTGAAACTTTAGGACAGTAGAAGAATGATAAAAATGGGGGATATAAAAGCTCAAGTAAAATCTGAAAATTAAAGAAGAATTGAGTAATGAACACAAGAATGCATGACGAGTGTTTGGTGATAGGAAATGTGTGGACGAGCTTGATTTTAGAGTAGTGTCGGCTCAAACAAGTTAAATACATACACAGCTCGGTTATAGAAAAAAATTGGGATAGATTTTATCATAGGAATAAAATAAATTAGCATAAAAACAAAAACCACTAATTCTTAAAACCAACATTCTCAAGGATAAATAGGCTGACAAAAAGTTTTAATAGTATATAATTATGTTTTTTTTATTTAAAAAGGTCAATGAGCCATCATTTTCATATTTTCTAGCTTAGATACCTCTTCTCTCTCTTAAAGCGAAGTTAATTTTCAAAATCTCTCAAAAGGAAAGGTTAAGTTTGAGTATATTCAAATTCATATCATTGTTACTTTTGAAGAATTCTGCTTAGGCAATCGATAGAAGTGATGAGTGTAGTTTAAGACCATAAGATAAATTGAAATTTAAAATATCAGCCACTTACCAATTGATTTCTAGTCTTTTTCATCATTTAATGGCTCCAAGATTCATTTTGCTACAATTTCTAAATCACAATTCACAATCAACCACAAATGATTCACTTTTAAATTCCAATCCAATATTATTCCAAATATAAAAATAAAAATAATTGAAAGCCACCAGAATAAAACAAGAGTTTTTCCGGTGTGTCTCTTCCCCAGTTGCACCTAAATGCTTTACTAAAAAAACTAATTAGTAAAATGATTAGGTTGATAAATTATATTTAGGGTCTTGTGTTAGATGAATTTAACCATTAGGTCGGCATATTCTTTTCACAAAAAATGCATACTTTAATTAGAAAATATCATACATTAAAAAATATCATAGTTAAAGTATAGAAAAGTTTGGGTATAAATTTGCATTGTTATTAATAAATTATAAAAAATCGACTCGTCTAACGAGCCGCCTCATACATGAATTTGTAATTATATAAAATCTCATGATTAATAATTATGTTTGTTGTTAGCCAAGTGTATTTTAAACTTTCATTACGTAAGCAAGTTAGTTTAATATAGTTAGAAAACTAGTATATTTTTTCAACTGAAAGACATGCATTTTAATTGAAGCGTCAAACTATAAAAAACAACATAAATAAAAGTACGACGTTTATAATATAAGTGTGTAGTTTTATTACAAAAATATCACAAATCGACCAACCTAATTGTTAGACCGTCTCACACCAAAATTTGTGTTAAATTTTATAACATGTAACTTTTCTCTTTATATATATGAAAAATAATAATAATTATAATTCTGCATGGGCTACTTGCAATATTTTGGTCTACATCAGCCATCCAATTTTGTCCACTAGGTTCATGATCATTCAATTTTCTAAGAGTAATGTTATTGCCAACCTAGGAAAAAATGGAGTTGTCGAGTTATCAATATTTTATGTTTAGTTATTTTATTTTATTTTAGTGTATTAAGAGGATGTATATGATTTGATCATTTTTCCCACCCTATAAAAACATCTTTTAATCCAACTACATTAATATTGAAAGTTTGATATATATATACCAAGTATAAGTAATTAGTTTAAAAATTTGATAATAACACTTTATAATAATTTAACAAATGATGAGTTCACAAAAATATTTTACAATCAACATTATTATATATAGTTTCAATTCTTACAAAGTTTTTATTTAATTAACATATTATACACTGCATAGGCTTATATAGCAACCTTGTATGACGAGATTACCATAAGCATAAAATTTTAAACTTAAAGGCCAAATGATAAATAAAGTAAAATTAATCTTATTTTAGCAAAAAATGAACAAATTATAGAGAAAAACTTATTCTAAAATCAATTGTTATTTGTATCTCATCATAATTCATAAAGTTCCAATTTTGGGCCCAATTACTTTATTTTCTTCTAATTTCATTTGCAAACGTCATTTATTTAATACCCTCGGATTATTTTAATCAGCCGATAAAATGATTAGCTGTGGACAGCGCAGTTATAAGATGAAGGGCTTCTTGTGCATAAATCTCCTCGTTCACTTGCGTCTATTAACAGCACGCACATAACATAAATTCTTCTGAATTTTGGTTGCTGAAAGACTCCTGCAAAATTGATTTTTTCTTTCAAAAGGTAACTCAAATGTTGCATCTCTCTTCTAATCTGTGTACTTGTTCATGGGCTGCTTGTCGTTTTAGTTATTTGATTTCTTTATCTTTTGTAGCCCGGATTTTCTAGGAATATTCGTATCCGGATANCTCGTTTTATTTATTTATTTATTTTATCTGGGTTCTGCATCTATTGATCTATAGAATTGTTCTTTGTAATAAAGATTGCTTTTTTATTCTTCTTGTATCAGTGATTTGATCAGGTGATATCTGTGGCTTTTTTGTATAAAGATGCTCATTTTTTGTGCTTTTGCTTAAAATTGTTTTTTCGCCTGGGAATTTTGTGGCTTGTGGATCTTTTGTCTCTGTTGAATTACTAGCAATTAGCTGCTATTGTGGCTTACTGGAAAATTATTGTGATGAAGAGACCAGAAAATTTGTTGTGCTAGGACTTTTTCTTTTTCCTTCTTTCATCTGGAGATTTTATAGCTTGTGGATCTTTTGACTCTGTTGAAAATTACTAGCAATAGCTGCTATTTATGGCTTCTTGAAAACTATTGTGATTAAGAAGAAGCATGAACTTCAAGAAAAAATGTTTTTCACCTGGGTTTTGTAGCTGGTGGTTCTTTTGACTCTGTTAAATGGTGCTGGAAAATTATTGTCATTAAGAATAAGAAGCATGAACTTGAAGAAAAAAAATTGTGTTGGGATTTCCTTATTATTCTCCAAAATTTGCCCCCAATGCAAATTTATTTTATTTTTATTCTTAAAATAATTTCCTATAACCCTAGAGATGCCGAAAATCATCTTTATTGTTACTTGCAACCCACTATACTATTATTTTTTTTTTTCCTCTTATTCCTTGATGATAAAAATTTCATATGATTTTCAGGTTCACATCTCTTCCATTTACAGTGGAGCCTTTTCAACATTTGCTGTCAAGGCTTTGGTTCTGATATTCCCATATCTCCTTCGATTTTCTCTTAGTTTGAAACAAAAAAAAGTCCAGGGAATGCTGAAAGATGTGCTTGCTGGATAGACAGGCTTTCTCTGATTTTTACGAGGCTGGAGCTCAATCCGAGCCGCCTTCTTTTATCCTTGATGAGATTGGATTCGTAACTTACATCTCTAAATACACACTCTTTGAAAAACCAGCTTTGGCCAAATATCTCAAGGATCAAATCGTCTCGTACGAGGATGGTTGAGTCACTACTGCATTCTTGAGAAAAGCAAAAAAATCTCTAGTTAGCAGATAAAATATAGTATTTCATTTTTTTTTCTTTAGAGTTAGTTAAATTTGTGGTCGGATATGGAAGGAAAAAGAGGAGTCTTGATGCAAAAATACGAGCTTGGCAAATTGCTCGGACAAGGCACTTTCGCCAAGGTTTACCATGCAAGGGATATTGAAAACGGGAATAGTGTTGCTATCAAGGTGATTGACAAAGATAAGATTTTGAAAGTGGGGCTGATCGAGCAAATCAAACGGGAAATCTCCACGATGAGCCTTGCCAGGCACCCGAATATCGTGCAGCTTTACGAAGTATTGGCCACCAAATCGAAAATATACTTCGTGATGGAATATATGAAAGGCGGGGAGCTTTTCAACAAGGTGGCCAAGGGAAAACTTAAACCCGATTCTGCCCGAAATTACTTTCAGCAGCTGATTAGTGCAGTTGATTTTTGTCACAGCAGAGGAATTTACCACAGGGACCTCAAGCCCGAAAACTTGCTCCTGGACGAAAATGGAACATTGAAAGTATCGGATTTCGGGCTTAGCGCCCTTTCCGAGTCGAGAAAGCAAGATGGGCTTTTACACACCACTTGTGGGACCCCTGCTTATGTGGCACCCGAGGTTATCAGCAGGAAAGGTTACGATGGCTCAAAAGCTGACATTTGGTCATGTGGGGTCATTCTGTTTGTTCTTCTTTCGGGCGATCTCCCTTTTCACGACTCGAATTTAATGGAAATGTACAGGAAAATAAGTAAAGGGGAGTTTAAGTACCCGAATTGGGTCTCGTCTGAAGCCCGCAGGCTGATTTCAAAGATTCTTGACCCGAACCCGAGTCACAGGATAACTATATCAAAGATCATGGAGAATTCTTGGTTTCGAAAAGGGTTCCAACCGAAAGCTGCGAAAATAACCGCAGATGATTTTGTCACGAGCATTCATTTTGAGGATGAGGATGAAAAGGCTGAACTTGGAAAGCCGGTGAATTTAAATGCCTTTGAAATAATCTCTCTATCTGCCGGTTTTGACCTTTCGGGCATTTTTGAGGACTGCGATCGAAAGAAAGAGGTAAAGTTTACATCTAACCAACCGGCCAAGATTATTGTCTCGAAATTGGAGGAATTAGCCGAGCGCTTGAGGATGAAGGTGATGAAGAAGAAGAATGGAGGGTTTTTGAAAATCAAGGGGGCGAAAGAAGGGAGGAAAGGAACCTTATCAATTGATGCAGATTTATTCGAAGTGGGTCCGGATTTTCACTTGGTCGAGATGAGAAAGTCGAATGGGGACACGTTGGAGTATCAGAAGGTGATGAAAGAAGAGATTAGGCCGTGTTTGAAAGACATCGTGTGGACGTGGCAAGGGGATGGGCCTCGGGCCCGAGAGGAGCCCGAATTTGTACCATCTCAAGTTGCAGAGGCCCCAAAGTGAATTATCTTGAGCTGAGTATGTAATTTTATTTTTGGAAACGTTGTTTTCTGATATTTTAAGGCATCTGGACACTAATTCTAGAGCTATGTTATTTGGATGTGTGTTATTTTTGGATGTGTGTTTTTTTCCCATTGAATGAGATTCCCATTGTTTGCTGCAATTTGTTTAATGTGTTTTGATTGTTTTATGTAATAATGTGCACCCACTGGTCGATTGTGGCAGATTTTTGCTCAGTGACAGTGAACGAGGTCAAAAATAATAATAATAAAAACTAAATCGACCAAAGAATCCACCCATTCATAACATTTATTTAGAAAAAGGCCATCAACTAAATTAAATCTAGACAAGTACTTTAACTGGTTGGAATTTAATATGCAGTAACATCACTTTGGCCCCCAACACCTTCCAATTCAATGTCTTATTATATAATAAACAAGGCCTAAAAGTAGAAAACCTGCTGTAATGCAACAACTAGTTCCAAATAGTGCAACCAAGTTTCAATTCAAGCAGCATAAATGGTGTGTTCTACCTACTACCCAACAAGCAATGTATAAAAAAATTTCAAGAGGCAATTCATTATCTATCAAGATTCAAGACCCTAAATGTGCAAAATTTAGCAAACACGACACGAGCCGATTGTATTATTACGCAATCTATTAAAAAACTGGATATATCGGGCGTGGAAGTCATTAAAAAAACTTGCCATAACCATCATATATTCACACAGAGTCTAAAAGTGTCTCCCTCTCTTCCAGTCAGATCAGAACAAAAGAACACTCGAGTCCGGTTAATAACCAAATTAGACCTCACAAACAGAAATGCATTCCATTTAAAAAGTGCTATCATGCTAAAAGTAAATCTCCCTTGTACAGAAAAAAGAAGGAAGATGCAAATGTTCTTTAAATCCTCTCAAAAAGAGGTTTATGTTTTCCCTCGTCAGAAGAGGTGTACTCAGACTCCCTCATACTTTACTCATTTCCTTCCTTTTCTTGTTCTTTTTTTTCCTCTTCCTATCTAATAATAATATCATATCACCAAAGAGACTGTACATCTGGCGGGGTGTACAGGCCTCCAATGTGGGGCCTACTGACCGGAGAATTCCCAACACCATCTCGTGACCCCGGCACAGGCCAGTCTTTTCTGCAAAAGAAAAACGAGCCGAATGAGATACAGGAAATAAGGCAAACATATACATCCTCAAACACAGTAGACCAAAATCCATCAGGTAAGTTAGTGAAAGAAGTGACCCAAGCTTAGTTCACATTGTTTGAGAAAGCAAAAAATCATCTTAGCCAAAA